GTGAATGCTTCGCATGTTTCTTCAATCCCAATGCAGCTGTACACCATTCAAACTTCTCTGAAGTCACTGCCTTGGTCAGAAAATCAGCATTGTTGACCTTTGTGTCAACCTTCTTCAGCAATACAACCTTGTCTTCAATCTTCTCTCTAATGAAGTGGTATTGTATGCCGATATGCTTGGTCCTCGCATGGAAACCTGGGTTCTTAGCCAAGAAAATGGCGCTCTGACTGTCACACCCAACGATCATCTCTCCTTGTGCAAAGCCAAGCTCTTTGCACAACCTCCGTAACCAAATAGCTTCCTTAACAACATGTGTCAAGGCCATGTACTCAGCCTCTGTAGTAGATAAAGCAACAGTGCTCTGCCTCTTACTCATCCAACTGATAGCTCCACCAAATGATGAAACAACATATCCACTTGTAGACCTTCTACTATCAATGTCACATCCCCAATCAGCATCCACAAAGCATCTCAGTTCTAACAATGTTTGTCCCCTTGAGCCCTTCACGCCTTCATAGCATAACCCAAGGTTAGACGTACCACAAAGATAGCGGAACACATGCTTCACAGCCGTCCAATGCTCATTTCCTGGCTTGGACATATACCTGCTCAATACTCCCACTGCTTGAGCAATATCAGGTCGAGTACAAATCATGGCATACATCAGACTCCCAACTGCACTAGCATAAGGAATTGACGCCATATCCTCTTTTTCTTCTTCAGTCTTGGGACACTGGTTAGCTGATAACTTAGAACCAGTAGACATGGGAGTCAATACAGGCTTGCAGTCAGTCATCTTGAATTTCTTCAGAACATCTTCTATATACTTTCGCTGACTTAACCATAATCTTCCTTTGTCACGCTCCCTCTTAATCTGCATACCCAAGATCATATTTGCAGCGCCTAGATCTTTCATTTCAAACTGCTTTGCTAGCAGTCCTTTAACAGTGTTGATCATCTTCAAACTGTTTCCAACGAGTAACATGTCGTCAACATAAAAAGTTAGAATAAAAAAGTCACCTTCTAACCTTTTCACATAAACACAGTGATCAGCATCACAGCGGTCAAAGCCAAGCTTCACCACATAAGTGTCGAACTTCATGTACCACATCCTCGGGGACTGCTTCAGGCCATACAGAGATTTATTCAGCTTGCAGACTAGCTTTTCTTTGCCTCTTGCAATGAACTCCTCTGGTTGCTTCATGAAAATAACCTCCTCCAAATCACCATGAAGGAAAGTCGTCTTCACATCCAGCTGCTCCACCTCTAGGTCATATGCAGCTGCTACAAACAAAACCAGTCTTATGGAATTTAACTTTGCAACAGGTGAAAATACCTCACTATAATCAACCCCTTTTGTCTGTGAATATCCCTTTGCAACTAATCGAGCCTTGTAGCGCTCAATCTCCCCATTGGCACTAACTTTCTTCTTGAACACCCACTTGCAACCAATTGCTTTTCGGTCTGCAGGTAGATTCACCAAACTCCAAGTTTGATTTTTCATTAGAGATTTCATCACTTCTTTCATAGCTTCCTCCCACTGTTTGGCATCCTCTAAGCTCCTAGCTTGTCTTACGGTGCTCGGATCATCACCTGTAATACTAGATGCATAAACATCATCACTAGCACACAGGATATAATTTTCAGGTGTATACCTTTCAGAGGGTCTTCTTTCCCTCGTGGATCTCCTCAGCACTGGTGCTTCAACCTCAACCTCGGTTTCAGAAAATTCATCCTCTACCTCGTCATATTCAACAGCTTCAGAATTCAAATTTTCCAATTCAACCTGTGAGTTTGTTGTATCCTCTTTAAAACCCACATCCAACTCCACTGTCTGTGACTTTTCAGGAGCTTCAGGAAAAATTTGATTCAACTTACATTCCCTGAACACAACGTCTCTGCTGTAAGTTACACTTCTAGTATCCGGATTCCACAACTTATAACCTTTAACGCCATCCTTGTACCCAATAAAGATACATTTTTTAGATTTACTGTCAAGCTTGCTTCTTTTCTCCTTGGGTACATGCATATATGCTTCACAGCCAAACAATCTGACATGAGATACGTCTGGCCTTTTTCCAAACAGTGCTTCATACGGAGTCTTCTCCTTTAAGGCCGATGTAGGAGATCTGTTCTTCAGATAACAAGCAGTAGCCACTTCCTCCGCCCAAATCTCAGCTGCCAAGCCTGCACCGCTCAGCATACTCCATGAGAGATCGATTCAACCTCTCTGCCACCCCATTCTGTTGAGATGAGTAGGGCGTAGTCTTCTATCTTACAATCCCATTGCTCGCACAAAACTGGTCAAATTTTGTTGAACAGAATCCCCCTCCATTGTCAGTTCTCAGCACCTTGATTTTTAGATCAAACTGATTTTTCACCAAAGCCTTGAACTCGCAGAATTTATCGAACACTTCATCCTTGCTGCACAAGAAATATAACCACACATATCTTGAAAAATCATCAGTAAAAGAAACATAATACCTTGATTTTCCATGTGATGCTACAGGTGTGGGGCCAAACACGTCGCTGTGTATCAGGTCCAGAATCCCCTCAGTTCTTCCTTCTAAGGAATCAAAAGATACCCGATTTTTCTTCCCTTGCAGGCAATGCTCGCAAAATCCAAACCCCATAGAGCAGCTCGGAATTCCATCCACCAGCTTTTTTGATGTTAGAGTCTTCAGACCTTTTCCTCCAATATGCCCCAGCCTCCTATGCCATAACATAGCAGTGTCCTCCTCCGCCTGTTCAGAAACAGAGCTTTCACCACTGAATACTGTGCTACCTAGAAGTTTCCACAATTTACCATGACGCTCTCCTCTTGCAATTACCAAAGCTCCTCGAGTCAGCTTGCAAGAATACTTGTCACTACTAAAATTAATACCAGCATCTGCCATACTACCAACGGAGATCAAATTTCTGGTAAGCCCCGGAATATGCATCACACCCGACAGACCTTGACTATCCCATCACTCATCTTCAGCTTTACCTTCCCACGCCCCACAATAGCATGAGTCGTGTCATCTCTCATTCTAACTATACCGCCAAAATATGATTCATAGGTGCAGAACCATTCCCTATGAGGTGTCATATGAAACGATTCTCCAGTGTCAATAATCCAGTCATTAAAGTTACTATGACTGTCAAACGCCATGTACAAGTCCCCTATACTATCATCATCATCCTTCTTTGTACCCGAAGCAGAAGGTTGTGAATCATCCCGCTTCTCAGGACCTACGCTTTTACTTCTGCAATTCCTTCTCAGATGTCCAACCCGTTTTCACCTCCAGCACCTCATTTCAGATTTATCAAATTTATCACGGGACTTTGACCGTCCCCTCGATCTTCTTCTGTGACCAGACTTTGATTTGTCACCACTTCTCCCTCTAGCAACCAGAGCCTCATTGCTGGTACCTTCAGAACCTACCCTTCTCATCTCCTCCGACAATAAGGCAGCAATAACCGTCTCGAACGATAGTTTATTAACACCAGTACCAATTGACACAATGATGTGCTCCCAAGAGTTGGGCAGCGAACACAACAAGGTGCAAGCTTTGTCTTCTTCATCCAGATTGATGTCTATAGAAAAAAGTTGCGCACAAATAGTATTAAATTCATTTAAATGAGCAGAGAAAGAATCACCTTCGCTCATCCGCAGATTATACAGCCTCCTTCACAAGAACAGCTTGTTCACGAGTGACTTGCTCTAATAGAGACCTCCCAGCTTCATCCAGAGATCCTTCGCGGTCTTCTCAGAAGTTACGTTCACCAAAACGTTATCTGCCAGGCATAACCAGATCAGGCTTCGCGCCTTTCGATCGTCTCTAGTCCACGCCTTCAACTCCTTCGACTCGCCTTCACCTGGCATTTCATCACCGACAGGTTTCGTTGGTACCGATGGCTTATCATCTTCGATCACGTACCACACGTCCCTATCAACGAGCACAGCCTCCGTCTTCAGCTTCCATAACTCGAACCCTTTTCCTCCAAACTTTGCAACCTCGATTCGTGATTGGCCAGTCGACATCCTCTCCAGATCAATTTCGCAGTTTTCTCTATGCACAGAAAAATACCCAAATCGCGAAACCCCAATCTGTCATAGGAACCCTGGTCGCAGAACCAAAACTCTTGATACCAATGTCAGGCGGGTCCAGGGGGAAGCCCGTGGCGGGGGCTACCACCAATGGGCCAAGTTACTCCAAGTGGATCCGACACCATGTCTCAACCCAAAACCTTAAGGCATTGGGTTCATGGATCCCTTCCACTTATATACTCTTCACTTAGCCCATTACCAACCAATGTGAGACTTATCACACTTGAATATCCCAACAATCTCCCCCTCAAGTGTGAAACCCACCATTGGTATGCTCCCCCTCAACCGAGTACCCCAAGCGCAAAGTACTCGACCTGCCTCCTAGCCAATCATCAGACTAGCTCGAGCACAACCCGGCTCTGATACCAATGTCAGGCGGGTCCAGGGGGAAGCCCGTGGCGGAGGACCACCACCAATGAGCTAAGTTACTCCAAGTACACCAAGTGGGTCCGACACCACATCTCAACCCAAAACCTTAAGGCATTGGGTTCATGGGTCCCTTCCACTTATATACTCTTACTTATCTCATTACCAACCAATGTGAGACTCATCACACTTGAATATCCCAACAGTATGCAATGTCAAAATGAGTTGCAATGCTTTCCTCCGTGTTGCAGAGGACGATTTAGTTTATCAACATGCTTCTCTGGATAAATTTGCATTGTGGTCGATTGAATGGATTTCAAAACAAAAATCGTATTGGCATGTTGTGGAAGATGATTCTCTTGATGAAGACCGATCAACCTTCTACGATTTTGAATTGTGTCCACTTAGACGGTTTAATAAGGAGAGGCAATTGATGTTCTTGAAACGATGTAGGGAGAGTGGAAACCCAATAATTGTGTACCGCGAAGGGATGATACAGTATTTCTGAAAATATTCGAGTTCATCCATTAATGACAAGGCTATGCAGAAACTTAAAATTTCTGCGAGCAACGGTCACACTGAAGCCAAGTATGTATATTGCATCCTTTTGATGAATTCAACCGATGAGGAACGCCGTAATCATGGATTTGATATGTTTTGTTCTTTGAAACGGACAACCGAATTAAGTCCATGCAGACACCGGGTCAAGTGTTTCCTCCAGCGTATGTGGCTGCGTAAGGAAAGGATACCAATCCAAGAGTTTTCTTGGTGCCATTCTAAGAAATACACAGTCGAGAAGCATTCATATGCACCGTCAGCAATGGAATGTAATGGAAATGAGCATGGGAGTTGGAATACATGTGCAGGTTGTGATGCAGATGCTGAAATGAGAGAGTTTTCAAGAATGACGATTGGAAGTGGTTAGTTTTATGAGTGTGGATATTCTTACTACTAGAAAAATTTACTACCAACCCACTACCTCTATAATCACCATTGGATCAATATTTTCTCTGTCTTCAAAAACTTTTCAACATTCTCTCTCTTTGATCCAATAGTAATTATGGAGGTAGTGAATTGGTAGTAGATATTTTTGGTAGTTAGAATATCTACCCTCTAGTTTTATACATGTTAACGACTTATATTTGTTCTGAAGGAGTATATGTTTTTTTGAAATTTATCCTACTATTCATCTCCAGTGAACTATAATTTTATAAATATATTTTTCTGTCATGTCGAACTATGTTTTGTATTGGGTCACTAAGCCACACAACATGTGTAAGCAAAATTATTTTAGTCTGTTCTAGATGATATGGATAATTTATGGTGCTATGATGAACCAACGATTGTGAACAACACTTCTCGCCAACACTTTTTTTTATTGTCTAACAAATCCTTCTGGTGTTGCTGGTCTTTGGATTTGCTGTTGTGATAAATGAAAAATAAACAAGCATATAAACTCTTTCTGGTGTTGTTGGCCTTTGGATTTACTACTGTCATATATGAAAATAAATCAGCATATAAACTAATCTTATTGACATTAAATATGAAGTCTTGAATATGTATTCATACATATGTTAGGGAATTATGATGCATCGATTGCACTCCTTCACACATTCATAAATAAAAGCAATAAATTGCGGTTGTGGTTTTTAAAATGTGATATACAAAGTGATAAAACGAAATGGTTATTATTTTGTGTGCTGAAACAACGTGTTGGTTAATTTTGTATAAGTATCGACAATTTGGCAAAATATGTATCGGTACAGATTGATTCCAAATCCATTCGTTGTTAGCCAAAGTTCAAGATCCCTTCTCTGCCATTTTTGAGCGATTCTGGATTCCTTTTTAAAATCCTTTGATGGAAACCTCACTACCTGACATCTAATCCCTTCCAACGGATTTTCTGAAGAAGATATTTCGATTGGTGGCGGCACATTCTCTCTAAGATATATGCAACTTGAAGTTAACGTGCAAATCTTTTAGACGTCTTGCAGAGAATGATAACGTTTATAAACATGTGTCTCTGGAAAAGTTTGACAAATACTACTTGCAGTGGATTTCCCAAGACGTTTGCTTTAAAGTTGACCATGGAGATCACAGATGGTGTAAAAAAATACTACTTCTTTGAATTGTTCGCGTATGAAATGTGTCCGTTAAAAAGATTCAACATCGAGAGGCAGTTGTTGTTTTTGAAACATTTCATAGACTGCGAAAACCCACTGTTCCAGAAGATGGACTGATTAGAATTCATATTCGAAGATAAATTGCGAATTTTTTGTCTTTATTTTGTTGTTGCTTTTTCTGTGTGAGACTTATAATCACTGAATCGGTTTGTATGGTATGTTTTGGAAGGTTTGAAAGAGTAAATCGTTCTTTATAAATTTAGTCGGTTCAATTTCCATGATGAGAACGTCAACAGATATAAGAATTTTAACCGTTTCATTTTCCAGAGACTCAAAACAATAAATCCCTCAAATGATTGGTTAAATGCATAGCAAACTAACAAAAGTCCTATTTATTGTATTGAGTTTCAGAGCACAGAATTTTAGTTGTTTACATTTGTTAGTGTGCTCTTGAAAACGCGCATTGAACTCTTTCTGAGAGACAGGTAGGCATGCTTGGATAATAACCCATTCCATTAAGTCAATTCTTTAATTTTTTGTTTAGGGTTTAGTTTATTGACGATATTATATGTTTAACTAACCTGTAAGGAGCATTAGTGATTATGATTTTTGAGGGAAATAATAATAAAACATCGATTTATGTTTCAAATTATGACCTTTGGAAAACCAAAAGATCACTTTCTTCTTCGACCAAGTTTTATATATTGATGTATCCCCTAATGCGTATTTAAACATCTATTTTGTTTTAAAGCCAAAAACTTCTACCTTAGTTATATGGGTGAATCAACTTCTTCAAATCACTCTAAGGAGTCTAATCAAAGAAAGAGGATGCGCAAAGATATTGGGGAAATAATACCCTCCAAAGTATGCCGAAAGATGTTTTAATCGAGATTTTTGCACGAGTTAGTTCTCAAACTGTCAGTGACATCTACAATGTCCAACTAACCTGTAAGGAATTTCATGATATTGTAACTGATTCTTATATGTTTAAACGTTCGATTGAGATTATGCTTGCTGACGAAATGTACTAATAAATTGTTCGATTTTATTTAGTTGGTGTACGTTGTTTTCTCAGTTTTGCAATCCCTCTTTTGTATTACTCATTCCGTATTTTCCAAAGGATGGAAGGAATAGGATCAAATTTCTACTGTTGTCTCCAAGCAAGATAGAATAGTTCTTCAGCATTCCCTTGCTTAATATGTCACATAGACTTTCGCCAACGTTTTATATATTTAACCGTCATTTATCTATGAATATGTATTCTGAGATGATAAACTAATCCTTGGAAAAAATTGTCTAAAACTTATGACTGACATAATACACGAGAGCCTACGTTTTATATATTTATCCATCGTTTCTCTATGAATATGTATTCTGAAATGATAAACTAATCCTTATAAAAATTTGTATAAAAATTATACTTCACAATATGTTGAGAAAACGATTCATCATTCATAATTATTGTAACTGTACTTGATTAATGCGATTCTGATGCAATGGTTGAACTAAATCATCATTATTAAAGGATGGCTTTCTGCATTTGACGTTTGCACGTTATTAATTATAGTAATGTTCAATTTTATCACGTTGAATTCCGATGCAATTAAAAGGAAAATTGATGGAATCAGAAAATGAAGAGATGCATATATACGTTGGAATGGAACTATCTATTAAAGACATGCATTAGTGATTACGATATTTGAGGGAAATAATAATAAAACATCGATTTACGTTTCGAATTATAACATTTGAACACCAAAAGATCACTTTCTTCTTCCAATGTTAATGTGTATTAATTACACTTATTGAATAGCGTTGGGATGCTTCATCAAAATTATCAACAAGTAATAGAATATGAAAGGACAAACCTAAGGATCACGTTGTTTGATGTTTGAAATAATAACTTAACAACTGGTGTATCCCATATAATCGTCTTCTCTTCAACAATAAATACAATCATGTTCTTTGGGTTTTTCGTTGTTTTTCTTTTTTGTTGTTTAACTATTGATCAATGGCAGATTCTCCCTCTACCAATCGGGCAATGCCTAAAAAACAACAAAATCCTTCCCTAGAATCTCTACGCACAGATTTATTATTGAATATATTTGGAAAGGTAACTTTTATTCCATTGAAGATATTTCCAACATCAAACTGAGCTGCAAGGAGTTTCTTCGTGTTACAGAACATGATTATGTGTATCATAATTCATCATTGGACAAATTTGCGTTGGAACCCCTAGAATGGATCAATACAGAAAAACCATTTCGTCATTATGTAGAGCTTCTTTGTCCAAATGAAGAAGGATCTTTGAATGTGAGAAAGGTATTCAAGTGGAAATTGTCCCCGGAACAGAGGTTCAACAAAGAACGACATGCATATTTCTTGAGGCGTTGCAAGGAAAGTAGCAACCCTGAAATTATGTACTGTGAAGGAATGTTTGAATATTTCAGAGAAACATCAAGTTCAAATTCCATCGCCTTGGCTTTTGAAAACTTGAAGACTGCTGCTCTAAATGGTCATGATGATGCCATGTACGTGGATAGAATGCTCTTGATGTGCGCAGAAAATGCAGATCAATAAACCCTTGGATTTGACCAATTTCTTTCACTGAATGCTTCTGGAAAATTAAAAACATGCAGAAACCATGTCAAATCTATGATACGATCTATGTGGGTGCATAGAGAAGTTGTTGCAAAACATAACTTATCCTTCTTCCATTCTAGCAGATGCAAACTGCTCAAAGTTTTAATTCAACAGTCGCTGTGGATATTGGACGAAGATATCGATGATTATGGAATTGAATGGGAAAATTGCAAAGCAGATGTTGAACTAAAAGTTTTCTGTAGGATGATAATGGTTTAAGTTTTTCGTTGAGAGTTATAAGCTATTCGTCTATGTCATCATTTACTACCGCGCTTTTTTTGTTTTTAAGATTGTTATATTTGTTTCTGATTTAAGTTTTATGTGAAATCTATGTATTAAAAGTTTAGTATGACAATGTATTAAAGATTTCTGATTGTTAAATATTATATCGAAATTTTGCATTTAGGTTTCTATGTATTTCTTTTATGTACCTATATCAAGATTTCCTCATATCACCACAAAAATACGTTTCTTTCGATTTCAAAAACAAGTTTTATATATAGGTGAAACGATTTCAATATACGAAACAAAAGAAATTGTAAAATTGTGAGTAATTATTGAAAGAAAAAGTGTATGTTTTTATATATTTATGAAACCGAGTATATCCAATTTAAAGGCAAATTGTGTTCAATTTTTGAAAATACAAATTTCTAAAATTTCAAATACTAACAACACATATCCTTGCAAAAAAAATAAGATAACCATACAAGTTTTTGTAATTATAAGGTTTGCAGTGCGATTAACCAACCACGGCGAACGACAAATTTCAAATACAAACGACACAAATCCTTGCAAAAAATAATTATTTGTTATTTATTTATTTATTTGCTGAGATTATTACTTTTGGGAGTTAACATATTAGCGTAATTTATTTAATGAGCATTTACATTTTGCATCATAGGCATAAATATAATGGTAAAAGAGGATGTCCCTGGTAGTGCATAAAAATAAGAAATCACATGTTTGGTATGTGTTGAACTCATCCCTCCAATGATTGCTACCGAATCACACTGAATTAATAGCGTTTTCTTATTATAGGTACAAGCTGATCTTTTAATTTCATATTTGCTTGGTCTATTTGTTACCTTGATTTTATTGGTGGCTGTTATAGTTAGTAATAAGTTATATGCATTTTTCTTTTTTTTAGTCATCCTCATTTTAACATAGTATACTATGACGTATTTATTTTTTACATAACTTATCGAGTAGATATATTTGATTTGCATAGTATTGATCACTCTGATTAGCAGATTTTTGTTTATGATTGATATTTACAAAGTTATGTGTCAATGCTGTAATTTTTTCCATTGAAATATAGAACAAGATTGCAACACAATTTTTTGTAAGTATAAGATTTGTAGTGCGATTAACTAACTATGACGAACGACAAAATTTTGATTTTCTTTCTCCGTATATCGCACGGGTAATATACTAGTTTGTTATTAAAAATTATAAATGAGTAAAATCTTAAGACATGAGATGAGATGATGATTTTTTTTAATACGCAGGCGACTGTTGAGTTGACGAGGTTACACACTAGCGAGTGACAAATACGATTCAGCACTTTCATGCTGAAAAAGAAAATAAAATTATAAGGTGCATGAACCAAACCCTTCTTGTTGACACCCCAAACTTTAGTGGGACCCTTATATTGACACTAAAACATTTTAAATTGTTCATACGATTATATTCAAACACAATACAGATTCCCATATCTTTCACTGAAATAGGGAAGTGCAGGAATTTTTGGATCCTCCTCTTGATTGCTCCACCCAGCTGCTATTCTAGGACAGTGTGGGTGTAAGTTTCTCTGGCGTATGTAATCTGCAGGCCGTTGTTTTTTCTTTTTTCTGATATATAAAAAAAAAAATTGAAGAAAGAAGACGTTTCTTTTAGAACCCTCGATCCATTGATTCTATTTAAGCAATTCTTTATTTATTTTTTTTGATACATGAAAAAAATAAAAGACATAAAATAAAAGACTAGCTCTTTCAATTATGAGGATGAGGAATATCCGTCACGTTCGCTTAGAGAATTAAGCAATTCTTTAATATATGATTTGATATACGCCTATTCATATTTTTTGAAACAGTATGTTTAATTATTCACATTCAACCAATATCTCAGAATCATGTTTTTATTTTTTATTTTTTAATTAAAATGAGCAGAATTTATTTATTTTTAATAAATTAATTTTTATGTTCAAATTTTGAGAATGAAAAAAATAAAAATTAAAAAGTTACAAGTTATTTCCATATAATGTAAAAATATTATAATTTTTGATAGAGCCATACATTCCTAGTTTTGGAAACAGTCAAGGCTGTCTAATACTAGTTTAATGGTAGAGTCTGTTTTTCTTGACTGTTTTTTATGGAAAAGACTTGTGAAATTTCTATAATATTACTTGATGTTTTAATGGTACTATCCACCAAATTAAACTTATGGGTGGTTAATGGTCAGTTTTATATGCTTTTGATTTAACGTACCATAAAGGTTAATGGATTGGATACATATTGGTTGTTACAATGTATGCTTCATCCCTATCTCTATAGGGATTTTGATTCTAGTTATGATTGGTAATAGACCTTCAAGTGTTCACCACTTGTAAAACTATATAGGAATGGAATTTTATCGTTTCCTACCGACGATGGCGTCAATGCTCACCACTTAAACAATTTGAATTCTCCTCTCTGGGTCTTCTTCTACAGTGGTCGATATATTGCTCTATTGGTGCTCCATTGACAAAATGAGAGTGGTGTACATTCAGAGACTCTAATGCTCAAGTTAATAACAGACTAGGGTGGAGTATGAGACTATTAATTCTAATAGTTTGCCCATCCATCAAAAACACTTATAATAGTTAGTCACTCCTATTAGACTTAATAATGCTTGTAATTTACCACATCAAGAACATAGATCAACTGGTAAGGAGTTGTTCTAGCTTAAACAGTTGTCTCGAGTTTAAAAATTTGGTAGGAAAAGCTTTGTCACTCATATAGTTCTATCTGACTCGAATCAGACTAATCAAATAATTGATGAACCGATAAATAATATAAAAAAAAAATTACTTGTAATTTTAATCTTTAAATTTTGTCCCCCATAATAAAAATTTCTAGTTCCGTCACTAATTCTAGTAGCATAATAGTATGGAGAATGAATGTGCAAAATGTGTCTTCTCAATGATAAAGGAAATGTATTTATATGTAGAGAAAATTCTCTAATTGGGTATAGGTGTGTGAAGGGGCACATGCAAGGGAAGTGAGATTCACTGCGATAAGAAAAATTTTATCTCACTTTGAGGATATATATATATATATATATATATATATATATATATATATATATATATATATTCCATTTCTTAAATGAATCTGTGTGGTCGGTCCAAACTAAAAACAAAATTGTTGCTATTTAGCCGTTAAAACTATAGTTGATGGCCAAAATAAAAGCCAAAATGTTGCGTAAGAACGACTTATTTAAAAATTAAAACTCCAGTTGATGGACTTCTGAAAAGCAAAAGATTCAGGTGCATGTAACTTCGCTCGTATTCCTGAATCTGAATCCTTCTATTTTGGCAGTTAACCTAGTCAGTTAGTTTCAAATCGATGGAAATTAGGGGCCCCGAATTTGAAATAATGTCAAGTTGTCAAGTAGGAATATCATACTTTTGGTGACATATTTGCATCAACCCAGAAATAAATAAATAAATCAACATGCAGTATTTTAATCCGGAATAAGCGCAATGATTGGTCGGGTCTCCAAAATAGAACAGTTGTCACTTATCAGAATGATTAAGTGAGAAGGGAACACACTGAGTGCCCTTGGATCCACAAATAATACATGAATCTAAAACCTATTTGGATGCTTACTGTTGACCCCGTAATCATTGATTCTGTCAATATATTGTTAGAACTATCTTTTAATTACTTTGAAGGCTCTTTGTAATATTTATATAATTTATTTGATTATGTTTTAAATTATGCTAATTCAGTGGTTCATTTGTAATCTATACAAAGCACCTAATAATGTGATTTAATAAAATTAGTATAAATTTTAATTTAACCTGTTTTTGAAAGAAAGGTTAATAGCATTGACAAATACATAAGAAAATTATCATTATCTCAAATATAAAATACTAAAACGCACGGTCGTACCTGTGGAAGATTAACAAATCCATCCAAAAAGAAGGATTGTGACTGGTAATTAAGTGCTTATTTAGATTTTAGGTAAAGGAGAAAGACATATGACTTAATAAAAGACACTATCATAATTAAAAAATTTAAGTCAGTATCACTTGAGTTACAAAGAGATAACTTCGTTGACATGGTAAATGAAATCTTGAAAGTGTGTTAGTTATTATACCAAAATCAGCGAGTTAATTAAAGAAAAGAGGGGGAAAATTGTGTTATTGAAAATTAAAAAAGGGAGAAACAAGTGATAATCAATAATATTAGGGCAAATTATATAAAATCACCTTGTACTTTGAAGCTTTTTTAAAAGACCACCATCTATTTTTAATTGGAACAATTAACCCCATTATATTATTATATTTCAACAATTAAACATATGTAATAATTTTCAAACAAAAATACCCTTACCCCCAACCCACCACCACTGTATATATGGAGAATACTAGCAACAAGGAAAATGGAGAATCCACTCGTCCATCAACAATAACCGATCGGCACCATTTTTGGAAGAAAAGCGTCCAATTCCAAAAAAATGCTAACGGGTGCTACAACATTGGATTTGGTAAGAAATTAAGGTGGGCCATCTTGAAACAGATTTCATCGATTCCCTTCTCTGATGCCTAGACACTCTTTGGATCCCACCCATAAACATGTTTTTATTCAGTTGCAAACTTTTGCAATTTTAGAAATTCTTGAACAAAATTGACCAAATTGATCCAAACACTATGTTTCCCATGTTAGAAGAATAATTGGCTAATGCATTAGGCCGGCTCCAGACTAACAATTGTTTGGGGGCTTAACACTTTAAAGAGAGCAACTTAAGAGTAGATGCGTCATATACGCGAATAACACGACGAGTATATATTGGGTTGGAGAAAAGGATATTTTTGTCTGAAAATTAATAAATATGTTTAATTGTTGAAATGTTATAATATAAGGGGGTTAATTGTTCCAATTGAAAATAGAAGGTGGTCTTTTAAAAAACCACCTAAGTACAAGGTGGTTTTATATAATTTGCCCATAATATTA